GTTTGAAAGATATACAAGGAGAGTTAGATAATATAGAAGTAAAGTTAGATGATAGTACCAAAAACAAGCTAATGTAGATACTACATAGATAGTAAATAATACGAAATATTTACTTGTCACTGATCTATGGTATTTTAAAATTGTAAACTATTAAATTTTCTCCTTGAACTTAATTGGTAGTATGCATATCCAATAATGTACACAGTGTATGAAAATGTTTGGTTTAAAATGTATCACAACCTATTTTCAAGAAAAATTCCTCTATTTTAAATTATATACTCTAACATCGACAAAAATGAAAGTCAAATTTCAACATCCACATAATATCTACGCCAAAAAATTGTATCAAAGAAAATTGCAGAGAATGAGATAATAGAATTCGATAAGATTGAAAAATGCTAGGAAAATATTTTACCGCCTTTTTATAAATATATTCCTAAGGAGAATAATCCATAATATGATTTATAAAACGTTAGATGGTGAAATTAGCGCAATAAACTAGGCTTTAGCAAAGAACATGAGCACTAGAGAAGCTCTATTCGTAATAAATATGATCATGCAAAGAAGACTGAATATAAACCAGGATGTCTACACATGCTTCATTGATTTTTAAAAGGCCTTCCACAGGGTTCAACACGACAAACTAATTAACAGTCTAAAACCAGAGAACATTGACATTCGTGGCATCAGAATAATAACAAATTTTTATTGACATAAGAAAGTCAAAATAGGAATCGAATGTCAACTGTCAGAAGAGATAGATAGTTTTAGGGGGTAAGACAGATATACAGACAGGTAAGGATAGATATACAGACCAAGACATTGTTTTATTGACCATACAACACAATGGCAATTGCTGGGACATATTACAAGTTTTCCACCTCTATATTCATTTCACAGTAGGTACGAATGGTCGTAATTGTCATATTGACATTAAAAATTTCAAACGAAGTTCTGAAAGAATAAACAAATAATTAATAAAATGCCTATTATGGTGTATACCGTCCAAGACGGTATTGATTTATTTATTGTTGCCTTCGAAAATAGACCCCCACCAAGTGTTACAACAGTTAAAAATACCATTAAACATTTTCAAACTTCGGGATGTGTAAACAGTTGTAAAAAGTGTCATGGAGGTAATGAACCACGTGTTAGACCTGTCGATGAGGAGCGTCAAAACAGGGATATTGATATTTGTGCTTTTGTGGAAGCTAGAACCCTGCAATAGTGTACAAATTGCTAGGGAAGTTAACGTGAATGCTCGAACTATCCAGCCAGTTCTCAAAAGAAATGGGTATCACTGTTTTAAGATACAACCAACACAAGAACTGTTTCCGGAAGATAACTTTAGGATGGAGTTTCGTGAATTATGTTAGATAAACAGAATGAAAATAATGTACACTTTTAAAACATATTTTATTTTCTGACGAATCTTCATTTTCATTACATAAAAAACACAATCCATCCGTTGCAAGGTATTATTCTCGGAAAAATAAGCTCAGTGTTTGCAGTGCGAACGCAGCATCCGCAAAAGTTAAACGTTTGGAATGGGATGTTAGGCGACCATGTTGTCGGTCCATTTTTTATTGATGGAAACCTAAACGGGCTCAAATGTTTACAACTTTTACAGAATGAGATAATTCCGGTAGTTCGACGCCTTTTCGTTAATTTTCAGGAGGTTTATTTCCAACAGAATGGGTGTTCGGCTCACAACTCTAGAGCAACTATTGACTTCTTCAATTAAAAGTTTCCTGATCGAGTGATAAGTACACTTGACCCGCTAGATCATGTGACTTAGCGCCCAACGATCTTTTTTTTTTTCGGGGTTTTCTCAAAGAAAACATATACAGGGTGAGTCATAACTATTGGGACATGGACTAAGGACAGGTTATTTGGACCAAAATATGGCTATTGCGCCAAATATGCCTTAATAAAATGTTGCTGAGAAAAAAGATACAGGGTGTTAAAGTTAATTTTTGTTTTTCTTTCGTTTTTTGCTAATAGTTTCCCTGTATATTTATAAATTGCTATCAAAATTGGCAAAGAGGCATAATCTTAGACAAGAACTAGTATTTTATTTACAATTTTACGTTTTGTCATAGAGGGCGCCACGTGGATCATTCCTAATGATCAAATTGAGTCTTAACTTTTTGTGATGAAACTTTTTAGTAATTTTTATTAGAAAATATAACGTAAACATCATTTTTACGTAAAATTGGTACTCTTGTTTAAACATGATAATTTTAACCGTTTTTGATAAAAACGCAGTCGACCTGCTTAGAGTCTTAAAAAAGGATTTTAAGTATTCCATTTATGAAAAGTATGCTTTGGACTGTCAGATAATTGTTGTTGGTAAATGTCATTTGTTCAGAGTAAATTATTTTTGATGTGACAGTGTAGTGTAATGTTGCATTTTTAAAAGTAAGTGACAAGAAAATTTTTGCTATCGCTCGGCAGCCAGAAGGTATGGAATGTTAAACGCAAACAGAAGGCAACCAAATCACAAAACTTTTGCAAGATTATATCGTAGTTTAGGTGAAACTGGGTCATTTCACACTAAAAATCGGGGTGGTTGGCCGAAACAAATCACACCTAATCAAGAAGATGAACTTTTTGTTCGAGTAGACGAAAATCCTGAAATAAATTCACGACATCTATCAGCAGCAACAGGAGTAAGTCAGTCGCCTATTGTTAGAATTCTAAAAAAGAGAACCTCCATCCTTCACTTCACTTCACTTCACTCCTGTTCAAAATTTACTTCCAACAGATCTTCCACGACGGTTACAGTTTTGCCAACGTATTCTGAATAAACATGCATGCGACCTATAGAAATATGTCACGAAGCACTTACAGCGGGGTTTTTAATTGGCGAAATAGTCATTATTGGGAAGAAGAAAACCCGCATGCTATTAAAGCTAGGCATTTTCAGCATGAGTTTAAATTGAATGTTTGCTGTGGCATTATAGGCGACCAACTACTAGGGCCTTATGTTCTTCCTCCGAATTTAAATGGAGCTTCTTATTTATTCTTTTTGGAAAATACTCTTAGTGATATTTTAGATGATCTGTCACTGGATGTAAGAAGAAAAATGTGATTTATGCAGGATGGAGCGCCACCTCATTTTTCATTAGCTGTTAGAAATCATCTAATGACGTATTTCCTCAACGATGGATTGGCAGAGGCAGTGATTTTCAATGGCCACCAAGAAGTCCTGAGTACAACCCGCTAGATTTTTATTTTTGGGGACATATGAAGTCCTTAGTTTATGCCAATGAAATTAATACACGAGACGAACTTTGGAGATACATTCAAAATGCAGCTAATCTTTTAAGGGGACAGAATAATATTTTTTTAACGTCCGAAAATCCTTTATAAAAAGAATTAGAAAAGGCATAGATCTCGGAGGAGATCATGTAGAACATTTAGTTTGCGTTTTTGAAAGTGTGTTTAGTTTTGATTTATCGTCAAAACGGAAACCTTACGTTAGTTGCAACTTTGTTTATTAGTTTGGTATTTGATAGTGGAATTGTAAATAAAATACTATTTCTTGTCTAAGATTATGCCTCTGTGCCAATTTTGATAGCAATTTATTAATATACAGGGAAACTATTAGCAAAAAACGAAAATCAAAAATTAACTTTAACACCCTGTATCTTTTTTCTCAGCAACAGTTTATTAGGCATAATTTGGCCCAATAGCCATATTTTGGTCCAAATAACCTGTCCTTAGTCTATGTCCCAATAGTTATGACTCACCCTGTATAGGCATCAGTTTAAAAGGGCCACAAACCTAGTCAAATTAAGGGCAAAAATACTTCATTTCTCTGGCAAGCATTACACCAGCCCTATTCCAAAATATGAGGAGAAATCTGTATGACAGATTTGGTTTCTCTTTAGCACAAGGAGGTGGAATTTAATTCAATAATCTGCTTTCCTAATTTTTATTGTTTGTTAGGTACATTTTACAAAGTTTGTAGGTTCTTAATTAGGTAGTATTTTTTATATTTAAGTTTTGATAAGAATTTTATTGTTTTTTTTTTATATAAAAGTACAAACGATTCTTATTCTGATTTTTTCTTCTTTCTTGTTTGTGTCTATTGTTATAAGCTTTATCCATAAAATTTGTACAACTTTCAGTGACAATAAAGCATATTACTTGTTTACTTACTTATTTATTTGTATTGCTATTAAGGCTAAAAAATAATCAAGAAATTAGTTTTAGAGTCTTAGGTGTAATAAATACACTCTAGAACACATAAACAAGCTACAGTTATTTGAAATGTGGTGTTGCAGAAGGATACTTAGAATAGCATGGACAGAAACGTAAACGAACATGGTAATATTGCGAGAAATGGACAAATAATAAAGAATAAATACAATAAAAACAAGAGATTACAGTATCTGGGACACGTAATGAGGGAACACCTATATGAAATGCTAATATTGATAATACAGGGAAATAAGAGGAAGAATGAGTATAGGAAGAAAGAGAGTGTCATGGTTGGAAAATTTAAGAAACTGGTTTAGATGCAGTTTAATCTCTCTTTAGAGCAGCGGTAAATAGAGTAAGTTAGTTATAAATATTGATATCCAGCCTCCAATTGAATGAAGGCATTTAAAGAAGAAAGGAGAAGAAAAAATAATAAAAATATAGAAAAGAAAGCTATTTTAAATATCTCACAATTGACAAAAAGGTGAAAGTTACAAGTTAGGGTAGATATGTTACCCCGTCCAAATTACGCTATTCGTTGTGTCAATTATCGACTATCATAAAAATTTGGTAGAATCATTACGAGTAACCTGAACCTAATGTAACAAATTCCTTTATGTCGACGATGTAAAAATATATTTTAATATATTATATCGAAATCTACTCATTTAGCCTAATCACGGTGTATATTGATTAGCATATGGTAATATTTTTCAATAGATAAGTGCCTCACTGTGAACAATCCATAAGCAAATGGTTACAGGTGCATCCATATATTTCATAATTTCCGTGACACGCGTCAAAACAATTACGCCAAATTCAACAAAAAATAATAATTACCTGATAAAATAGTTAAATGTAACCTCTATGGTTGTGCCAAACTATAATATTAATAGGTAGTTCATATCAGTGTCCGGAAGCCGTTATCGCGAAGCAATACCACGGTCGTTGTATGTGTATTATTATGAGTTCATATAGAATCGAACCTTTGGCTGAATGTCACCGAGAAATGTTCGGTGATCTTGTCCTAACATCGCTGACCCCTCTAAGGGAACAATTGCCAAGACAGATCATCCAGCCTATACCATACGACATCAAGATCCGAAGAGCATCCATGGATTCGGTTACGGTGGTGAAACGTTGTGCGGAAAGTGATAAAAGACGAGCTTCGAGTTTAGTGGAGCAGTTGTTGATGGACATTTATAATAGTGTGCATACCACTACAGACTATAATTCGACTTCTGGGAAGTCACATAGGAGCTCCTGGATGGATGTTGTGAATTTACAAGAAAAAGGTAACCCATTTGTCCACTTGCATAAATGTTTTTATTAAGTTTGTTTTTATGTTCGTCTGTTTAAATTTAAAGACTTCTTCATCTTTACATCACCATTAAATCACGTTGAAGATCATTTGTTCCTCTTCTGATAACCATTTTTGGGATATTCTAACTCATGGTACTGTGTACATTGAATTTTTTGTTAAAATTATGGCGTTATTTTTACAAAAATTTAAAAAACTAATAATACTAAGAGTGAAATATTTTTTTATATAAAAAACTCACGAAATATAGAGCCCAAGTAATCATCTATACAGCATTATAACTCGTCTTACCATATCATTTTCGTTTATTAGACTGAATACAGCTTTAGATTAATCAAGATCTATAGGTTGTTATTGAAATTGTATTTGTATATGTCCGTTCGTCAGTGTAATTACTCTTGAAGGTGAAAAAACCTAGCGTTTTGAAATTTAGTACATTTATTACCCTTAGTCTAAGCAAGAACATTATTAAGTTTGAGTTGAAAAATGTTTTCTTCTTTTTCTGATATTCTCATAACTTTACATCTTCTAAAGTAAAAACTCTAAATGCAAGCTCCTTTCTCCTCTTTCTTCTTTTCTTGAGCAGTCCTTCTACTTTTTAGTCTACTGCTGGACGTAAGACCTCTCCATGTATTTTCCAGGTTCGCCTTAAGCTATCTGGTACTAGTTCTTCCCTGATGTTGATCTATCTTTTTTGTGGTCTTGCTAGATCTCGTTTATGTGCTCTTGGTTGCCATTGTATTACTCTCTTTGTCCATTTTTTTTTCACTCTCCCTTGCCGTATATCCTGCCCATTTCCACTTAGATTTTGCGATAGCTTCGATAGCATAAACTACTTAAGGTTTTATCATAGATCTTCGTTTCATATACCACCTCTTATTTAATTACAAACATTGGTTATCCTGACGGTATCCAATGTATGCAAGATTGTTCATTGTTCTTTAATACCAACAAGATCATGGTTTGCAAAATGACATGCAGTGAAATAAATGTCTTCTGAGATTTAAACATCATGCATTAATTCCAACTGTGAGCTTATGTAGAAGGTTCTATGGAGGAGTCGCTATCGAGCTAAGGTATTAGTTGTCTAGTGTTTTTCTTCTTCTTCTTTTGTATGTAGGCTTTAAAGCCCTTTCTTCTTCTAATATTAGCCTCCTAAATTGTTTAATTATCGCCACATCTTTTTCTGATCTGCCAATACTTCTCCGTCCATTTGGTGACTTATCACGAATAACATCTTTAATATATAATGATTGTAAAGAATGTTTTTCCATTACAGCAAGTTCTGATGAAGCCCAAAATTATGTGATGAAAGCTTGACTTTAATAAAAGACACTCACTTTAAAGCACCGTTTTTTATTCCTTCCTTAGTATTGGGTCGTTCTCGGTTACCTTCAATTGTCTGTTGTTTACACAGTAGCCCGTTACTGTCCTCGACTTATATATATATATACATATATATATATATTATATATATTTATATATATATATATATATATATTATATATACAGACGAATGCTGAGAATTCCATGGATATAAAAAGTTACCAATGGTGAGGTACTTCGGCGAATAAGGTAAACAAAAGAATTACTCAGCATAATTAGGTACGTGAAAGATATGAAATACTCCAAGTCATATTGGAAATTAAATCAGGTCAAAAGATCAGTTGGAAAATGCCAGAATTCGTGACTCAAAGACCTGAGAAGATAATTTGACCACTCATCCACAGAAAATACTTTAGTGCAGCAGATTTCAAAGCTACAATTGCCATTTGTAGCTATTGATATGATATAGATAAGGCATGCAAAAGCTGAAAAGAAGTTTAGGATTGATGTATGAGCATATGAAACATTAGGTATTGTTAAATAGCTGGGTAGTTGTTATGGACGTATCTGTGCCTATATAGTTTAAAAAACTTGGGTATGATGTTAAGGGTGATATTTGGGATGCAGGTAATAACAATATAGTTATGGGAGAAGATATATTCGAGGATTGTGGAAGAGGAATTCGCTGAAGATGCTGGTTTGATCGGACATGAAACATTTAAGGACAGCAACAAAATACAAATAAAAAAATTATTCACTTTAGATCTTATTTATAGATTTCTAACAAGATTTTCATTACTTTTTATTTATTTTAATAAAATTGGCTCAAGTTACTTCGACAATGTATAAAGTTGTTCTATTTTCATCGAGATTGTTTATGAGAAGTCATAGCAATAAAAAAGTTTCTTATTTCAAAAGAATATAAATATCCTTCTTTGCATAAAGTTATTTTTAACCTGAATTAAGTTTTACTTTAATCGTTTTAGTACATAAGTGATTTATACCCCTCCATCGTTATTTGAATCTGGTATTTATTTTCTATCCATCATCAACATCATTCTGGCTTTACAACCCTGAGTGGGGTACCTAGCCCTAAGAGTTCTCTCCAGTCGTCCCTATACATCGTCTTTCTCCGTCAAGCACGTATTCCTATTTCTCATGTCTTCATCGATATTATCAAGGAACCTTGTTTTGGGTCTTCCTTATCTTCTCTGACCAATGGGTCTATCAAAAAGCGTTTTTCTAGCTGAATCATTTTGTTCCATCCGAATTAGATGCCCTCCTATTCATCTCAGACGTCCTATCTTAATATGTTTTACGATATCAGGTTGCCTGGTATATTCTATAAAGTTAAAAGTTGTGTCGTCTTTCGACACTCCATTGATTATTCACTGCTCCAAAGATTCGCCTTAGTACTTTTTTTCGAAACATCCTACCATGTTTTCATTATTTTTTGTTAGAGTCTAGGTCTCTGAACCATATGTTATGGCTGTGCGTATTATTGTTTTGTAGAGTTTTATTTTGTATTTCTCGATATATAATTTGTGGATTTAAGGAGGAGATTGAGCCCAAAATAGCATCTCTTGGTCGTGCAAATTCTGCGGGTTATCTCTGCGGTAGTATAATTTTCGATGTTAAGGAGAGATTTCAGGTATACAAATTCGTTCACTGCTTTGATGACGTCATTTTTTATAAAAAGTGGACATAAGGTTTTGTGGTTGCGTGCTTATTTTCATGTACTTTATTTTGTTGGTGTTAATTATTAAACCTATTTTTGTAGCTAATCCTTGTAATGCTACATATAGCTCTCGTACAGAGGTTTTTGTTTTTCGAACAATATTGATATCAGCGTAGGCCAGGATTTTCACTAATTTATTATATATTGAACCAGTGGTTGTGATTTGTGACAGACTAAACTTTTCCATAGGCAGATTCAACAGTATACAGGAAAGAGGGTATCCCTGGCGCAGCCCGTTATTTGTTTTAAAAGGTTCAGACAGTTCTCCCTGAATTCGTACTCTACATTTAACTTTTTCAAGAGTTAGTTTCGTTAAATTTACCAACTGATTTGATATTCCTAGCTCTTCCATTGCTTTGAACATTTCACTTTTATTTTATTCACAAAGTCGTAGGCGGCTTTGTAGTCTATGAATATGTGATGAGTATCAATGCCATATTCCAGTCTTTTTCCAAAATTTGTTTCTAGGTCGAAATCTGATGAATTGTAGAATTTCCACCTCTGAAACTAGCCTTATATTTTTGTACTATCCGTTCTGTATATGGTGACATACGATGACATACTACTGTGGAAAATATTTTATATGCTACATTTAGAAGCGTAATTCCTCTGTGGTTAGAGTATTCAAAGATATCTTCTTTTTTTGTTTATGGTGCAAAGTATTCTAATATTCCAATCATTGGGAAGGGATTTCTATGTTGATATTTTTTTTATAAGCTGCTGGAATACCATTATGGTATCTGGCCGCCTTATTTATATAGTTCAACTGGGAGGTTATCTACTCAGAGGATTGGTTTCTGGCTAGTTTTTTAACTGAACTTTAACTTCAAGAATCGTTGGTGGTTCCTTTTCCCTCTCATTTGTTACCCTTACCTCATTTCTTTCTTTTCCAGGTTTTCTTTCTTCTTCTTCCTCTTCTTATCCTTATTTTTTTATCCTTTTTATACATTTGTATGATAAGCCTTTTATAACTGATATTTTTAATCTCATTTTAAGAGATTAAAAGAATAAAGCCCTAACATGTATGGATATACCATTATAACTATCATAGAAACTAGTAAAATTAATGAACATACCACTTGGTTAAACAGACAATGGAATATAAGGAAAATGCGCAGTTCAGACATAAGAATAGGCTGAGAAAATTAGAAACTCATCCAAAAGATATGATATAAACATATCTTAAAAAGAAGAATTATGAAATATGAAGTTTTTGAAGACGATACAGAGAATTAGGGAAAATAGTATCCTACACGTATGGTAAAAGCAGCAGTAGATGAGTGAAGGTTTGACTTTTTTCGCTGCTTATAGATTGCTTTTAAATTTACGTGTTATGCTAATACTTAGGTATAAAAAGCATATTATTCAATCAAGAAGAATGAGGAAACGTGACCAAGCTTCACATTTGACTTCCAGAAGCTCACTTAGCCCAAATGACTACATGTAATATTTTGTTTTTAAGATTAATTTCTGCAATAATACATCTGAGGTAAAATCAAGACAATCTAAATATTTCGAGTGAATATATTTTATTTATTTTTGGGATCTAGTCTCAAGACGTTTGAATCGTACATTCGACCGCGGTTAGAATTTGGGCTTCTTCCTTGTAGAGGATCCATACTACTGTGTCCAACATGTCATCTAATTCACCCTATTCAAAATGTTTGGTGTAAATGTGGAATTTCTTGTTCGATGTTTTGTAAGAAATGTCGTATACAAAAATCCAATATTCGTATAACCTTTTTAACAATTTTATATTCATTTTCCAGATGTAGATGAATTAGTGTCCATTCTTTCATATCTAAAAGGCTACGTGGAGCGCATGGGTAGCGTACTCGTGAGACAGCTGAAGAGACGGGATACGTTGCGCCGTCAACAGGACGCGTATTGTGACGTCATTACGAAACAACTCGTCAAACGTGAGTATAAAATCAATACTATGTGGTGGAACGTTATGGGCCGATCGTTGAGGGGAAAGAAAAACACAGAAATTCGGTCATGAAATATTCAGAATGCGTTTGTAATTGAAGCACGTTTTGGCTGTTTTTATATCGCAGACAACGCTACTGATATTGGGTTTTGAATATTGCATTCGAATTATTTTTATATAGACTTTGTTTAGTTTTTATTTTCACACATTCTTTCTACTAAAATACCATTTTTTAAATATATAAAATCTAAATTAGATTTGAATTTGACGCACATACGTGATAAAGTGTTGCCACCTGAAAATAGAACAGCGTGAAAGTAATTGTAAAGTATTATTAAAAATGAGTGCTATATGAGAGAACTAACTGATACACCAAACGAATAAGCCACCTGGTGTGTGTATAAATATTGCATCAGATCAAGCACATGTGTAAATTGTTGCACCATCTTTTTCTTGGTCTACCAATACTTCTTCGTCCATTTGGTCACTTATCTCGTGCCTGTTGTTTCTAGCAGTCGTCTCATTTTAGATGTGTCAGGTCTTGTCTCCGCCGTGTATGTTAATATAGATCTAATTGCTGGTTTATAGATTATTGTTTTTGTGTCTTGTCTTAGGTGTTTGTTCTTCCAGATTGTGTCATTAAGAGAACCCGCCGCTTTACTTGCTTTTAAGCTTTGCTGTCGTACTTCTTCCTCAACATCTCCGTAACTAGTTATATGTATTCCCAGATATCTAAACCTTGCTTCCTGCTTTATTATTTTTCCATCAATTTCGATTTTACCCCGTAGGGGTATGTAAATGTCATACATTTGGTTTTTTTTTTGTTGATATTATCATATTGTATTTCTTAGCTGTTTATTGGAGATATGTGTTAATCTTTGGAGCTCGTCTTCTGTCTCGGCGATTAATGGGGCGTCGTCTGCATAACATAATATTTGGATTTTTCTGTTTCCCATTCTGTAGCTATGACCTTAACGTACTGCTTGTATTATTTCGTCCATTATTATATTAAAGAGAAGTGCTAAGCCCACTTTGTGACACCCCAGAGCGGAGTCACCCTGTCTGACCCGCTTTGTACAAATTTTGCACACAATATAGAAAAATTATGTTAATTTTGTATTTTTTAATGTATTTGTATTGTTATTTACTATCTTTAAAGAGAACTGACCACAGTTACAGGTGAAAAATGGTTTATTTTGAAGTTTAGATTTCTACTTCAGAAATCGTTCACAAAATACAAATTTATATGCCATATGAAAATGCATAAACAATATTTCTACTCTCTTATTATTTATACAGGGTGGCCGGGCGAAAATAACACAGGCAATATCAGGAACTGGTAATGCCTCATTTACAACATTTGTGAAAATACGAGCAGCACATTTATTTTTGATTAGAGAGGAACATATTTTTCCGGTACTTTCAAGCATTTTACTTTGACTCCCAAGCCAGGATAAGAATCAATGCATCAATTTTTAGTGGCAATGGCGGTTAAATAAGACTTAAAGTCCTTGCTATTCTCTATACATTGTATTTTTAAATTCAGTTCCATATTTTGTTTAATTGATTAAAAAAATATTTTAAAATTAATATTTGTAGCTGGTTAATTATTATATTATAAAATGAACTATACGAGATATTCACAGTCGGAAAAGAAGTTCGACATGGTTGCATACTTCAGTTGCATACGTCTTTAGAGAAGCGTTGGATGAATCAGAAGATAATATTATAGTAACTGATTAACTTCTAGACAATATTAAATATGCATAAGATACTGGATACTGGAGGGATAATGATATTATCCCTCCAGATACTGACAGAGAATGTAGCGTAGAATCTTTAGGTAATTTTAAACTGTTTGTCCTCGTTTTAGTGTAGTGTTTTGTACAATTTTATGTTATTTTTAATGTTTCCACATTCTACGCTTGCCGGATAGTTCACATTTTGACGAAATGCCCTGAAGATGCTATTTTAAGCGAAAGTACTTGGGCTAGATTTAATTAACTTGTGCTCGATTAGCCTTATTTTCAAAGATAAATACAAATATTACAATAAACGATATAACGTTAGAGAAAGTCGAGAAAATATGCTACCTGAGCTGCAATATTAAGTATCCCTAGGATCATATATACGAAATAAAAACTCGTATTGAAACAGCCAGAATTCTTAGATGTTAAGTCTATAGTGTTCTCCTCTATGGAGTAAAAAGCTAGAGTCCTATATAAGATGCCATAAAACGGTTAGAAGCATTTGAAATGTTGTGCAACCGATGTATGTTAACCGTCTAATATGTACACCACACTGACCATACAACTAACATAACTTTTCTTCAGAGGTTAAAAAAAGCTAAAGAAATTATTAACACATATCTATATCCTACCTAGTCAATCTTAGGAAATGTACTAGGCTAACGATCTATTTCGAACTGCTGTAAACACAAAAAGATGGTTCAAGATGGTCGCCAATATTACTAGATCATTTAGAACTTTAAAACCTTTAGATGAAGAAGAATTCTTTCTTAGCTGGCCAAATATTGAAACTGTGATCTCTGGTGGCCTTACAATACTAAAGGGTTCGTTCAAAACGTTGCCTCAAAAGATACTTCTTACTGACGTTTAGCGTCACCTCGCGTGTTCAAACTGTTAGGCCGTTTTTCAATTTTAATGGCTTCACGAATAATTCTCTATTTTAAGAAGCGGATGTGAGTGACGGTTTTTGCTCTTTCGAAATCTATGTTGTGGCCTGTTTGAATATTATGTTGGGCTAGGGCTGAAGTAGTATGAGAATTCTTAACAGATATAAAATGTTCATAAAAACGGTTATGGATTCGTCGGTTTGTCTGTCCTATGTATGTCCATGGGCAACTGGAACAAGCTATCTCGTAAACAGCCATGGTCTTCATTGGAAATATTGTCCTTTACGGATCTGATGAGATTGAACAACTTGTAATAAGTAGTATAGATGGTTTTGATGTTTAGAGTGTTAAGAGTTCTATTGATCTTGTCAGTGACATATTTAATAAAAGATAGAAATATTCTGGGTTGATCAGCAGGCAGGGTTTCTTTTTTGGATGGAATAGTTTTTAGATGTTTTTTAATGCTCCTATTGATTTGGAATTGTGCTCCTCGCCTAATAGAATTTTGCCAGGAGCACAATGTTATAGCCGCAAATACATTCTTTAAATTACCTAAGCGACGCCTTTATACATGGAAATCGCCAGCTGACAAAGACAACAAAATCGTCAGAAATCAAATTGATTACTTCCTAATAAAACACAGATATCGAAACTCAATTCAGGCAGTAAAGGCATATCCAGGAGCGGACGTATCTTCTGATCATAGTCTTCTTATTGCTAGATTTCAACTTCAACTAAAAAAGACACAAAAAAGCCGCAATAACAATAAACTTAACATACAGAAACTAAAGTCAGAAGAAACAAAAGAAAATCTGAAACACGAAATCAACACAAATCTAGACAGAAACCCAGGAAATAACTGCAACGTAGAGCAGCAGTGGCAATTCTTCAAAACCTCTATATTGGAGCCAAGTAAGAAACTACTTACAACAACTAAATATAAGAAAGAAGAATGGATGACAGAGGAAATTCTAGAATTGATGAATGAAAGGAGAAAAAACAAACCCATCAATAAGACGCGCTATAAACAGCTTCAAAACCAAATAAGAAGAAAAATTAGGGAGGCTAAAGAGACCTACTTCTCTGAAAAATGTAAAGAAATAGAAAAACTTCAAAACAGATATGACAACTTCAACCTACATAAAAAAGTCAAAGAACTAGCCGGAGTAGGAAATAGAAGAACCTCAAATATATTGCTCGACAAAAATGGAAATATTATATTGGAAACAGAACAAAAACTACGACGATGGAAAGAGTACATCGAAAAATTATTTCATGACCAGAGAGAAGCTAGTACATCTGTAGATAGCCAAACGGGAGATGTAGGTCCAGAGATAACCAAATCAGAGGTTAGTCAGGCATTAAACTCAATGAAAACCAATAAATCTGCTGGTCCAGATGAATTACCAAGCGAGCTACTAAAGTTGGTCAACGAGAAAAACCTGGACATAACAGTAGAACTGTTCAACGCTATCTATACTACGGGAATCATTCCTAGAGAAATGTTGACATCAGCATTTGTGTGTTTGCCAAAGAAAGTGAATGCCAAAGAGTGTAGTGACTATCGAACCATAAGCTTAATGTCACATACCTTGAAAATTCTCTTGAAAATTATCCACGCCAGAATACACTCTAAACTGGAGCTGGATATTAGTGACACTCAATATGGGTTCCGCAATGGTATGGGTACCAGAGAGGCATTATTCTCCTTCAATGTGCTGACACAGAGATGTTTGGATGTTAACCGTCCTCTTTACGTCTGTTTTATAGACTACAATAAAGCGTTTGATAAAGTAAAACATGATCGACTCCTGGAAATTCTAAAAAATAAAAACCTAGATGAAAGAGATTTAAGGCTAATAACACACCTCTATTACAATCAGCGAGCAATAGTAAGAATCGAAAAAGAAACATCTGAAGAAATGGAAATAAAGAGAGGAGTCAGGCAAGGCTGCATTCTATCACCTCTATTATTTAACGCCTATTCTGAAGAGGTAATTCGAGAAACTCTGGAAGATGAAACAGTCGGCATAAGAGTAAATGGAGTCTTAATTAACAACATCAGATATGCAGATGATACAGTAATAATAGCCGATAGTTTACAAAACCTGGAAAGACTCATGAGCAAAATAGTTATGTGTAGTAGGGAGTACGGACTATCTCTTAATGTCAAAAAGACGAAGTTTATGAAAATTTGTAAAAACAACTATAATACTAACGAAATCTTGATAGTAGAGGGCCAGCAGATCGAAAGAGTAAAAAAGTACACTTACCTAGGAACACTTATAACAGAAAATAATGACTACACGGCAGAAATTAAAGTCAGAATCGAAAAAGCACGTTCTAATTTTATA